AGCAGTTTGAAACCACCAGTCACTCAGCAGGAGAAAGATGAGACTTTTTGCTCCCATGAGGAGCCCTGGTTGTGTAGTGGTTACTCATTGGGCTGCGATCCATAAGATCAGCAGTTTCAAACCACCAGCCGATTCCTGGAAGACAGACAGGGTTTTCTACTCTCCTAAGGGATTATAGTCTCAGAAACTCACAGAGGTAGTTCTACCCTATCCCCAAAGTTTGCTATGAGTCAGCATCAACTTGATGGCCGAAAGATTTACAGTCTCAGAAACCCACAAGGGTAGTTCTACTCTGTCCTATAGGGTTGCTATTAGTTGGAACCAATTTGATGGCTAAGTGAGTTAGTTTTCTTGCGTAGGAGACATAAGGAGACATAAGTGGCACTTCTGAGTAAGCACTGGGAAAGGCTGGTGGTTCAAATCCACCAGTAGATCGGAGAAAGATAAGCTTTGTGCTCCCATAACAATTTGCGGTCTTGAAAACCTTATATAGGTCACTGTAATTTGGAATTGTCTCAATGGCAGTATTTCTTTGTTTTGTTTTGTTTTTGTTCGGCAGACATTAACACGTAGCAGGGGAAAAGAAAGACCTCCTAACCACAGGAAATTCCCACAGAAGGTAAAGAACTGCATTTCAATAGATGGCCAAATGCTTTTATTTTTAAAAAAGAAAAATAACTATCTTTTAAAATCTTGCTAAGACTTTCCCACTTCCCAATATGGCTCCAGTCAGGTCCTTTTTCAAATGTGACTACTGAATTCAGAAAACGACCAACTGTTATTAGCAACTGATGATTCGTCTTACTTTCTCTCTCTCTCTCCCTCCCTCTCTGACTCTCTCTCTTTTGAGGATGATACATGTACGTTCACATCTGCATTTTGTAGGAAAGGAAATCTCATTATGCTTTTCTATCCCAAGTATTACTTTAAATGCCACTTAACTCCCCAACACCCTCCTCCCTGTAACCTGAAAGCAAATAAACTTATTATACAGCCATGTTCCTGCAAAATTTTGAATCACACCAAGAATGCCTAGCCTTAAAAGGAAATGTTTTTCCCTCCCCTTGCATCCTGTTATTTAAGCTATTTTAAGGACTTGTCTGGAGAAAGCTGAGCCAAAATTCAAGTGGTTTTGATTTTAGCTGCTGTTTTACACTGCTCAGGGCCAGGTGGTATATGGTGCAATCAATCACTTCAAATGCATCTTTTGGGGTGCTACATTGCCTTATAAATCAGACACTTGGAAGACCAAGACTCCCCCTTCATGCCTAAGGTGTGTGTGTGTGTGTGTGTGTGTGTGAGAGAGAGAGAGAGAGAGAGAGAGAGAGTTGTTTTAAAGTATCTCTGAATCTGTCTAAATCTCGTGCCTTTCTGCACTAAGATGTTGCACACGTGTTTCGGTTAAAGGCTCACTAGGGACAGGCTAGTGCCCATAAGGCCTTAGAGAAGAAAGCCTATCATGGGCAGATAGATATATATCCTTTTTATAAAGATGGACTTAAAGTTTCCATTTACTTCTAGCAATGTATGCCACGACTTCTTTTGTACTAAGCATCATGAATTCACACCCCACCCTCTCTCACAAGATCTTGGATGTCTATGAAAACAACAACAGAGTTCAGATACTTAGCCATAAGATCTGTGTTGGAGAATTTAGATTGTATCCTCAGATCTAAAGCAGTAACATCAAGCTTTCATTAGTCATTAAAACTTTTTAAAAATCGCACTGCCAGATGGTGAGCTAACTATGGGGTTGGCATTTTATAGTGTGTGTACCTTTTGAGGCAGTGCATGCCAGCAAATGCATGAGGGAGTTTAATGAGTCCCAGCTGGGGGTAGACTAGAGGTTGCTATATAAAAGGCGATCCTAATCGTGTATTCCCTATGGTGGTGGGTCAAGTGTAGCTGATGGTTGAAAGAACCAACCCAAATGAGGTGTGTATCAATCCTTTTGCAACTCAAAAATTCCACTAGGTGAGTCTTCATTTTCCACCTGCTAGCATGCCCATGCTTTATAAACACATGCATGCACACACACTTATGGTTCACAGGAGCATGTTCTGCCCCATGTATACACTGACTTTGGCCCATGCACCCACATGTGGGTACTGCTCCTACTACCTGGCCTACTAACAGGATTTTCCGAGTCTCCCAATACCATTGCTTCTGGAATGACGGCGATAGGTAACCAGATGGTGCAGTGAAGAGCACTGGTTCAGTCTTTCATTGTTCTTCTTAGGTGGCTACAGTTACTTGTTTCAAGGCATAATGAAACAAGTATGTACTGCCACAGTCTCATTGAATACTAAATGTAAATTGAACTAAACCACCAGGCTTCTTGAGGAATCAGCCTGAATCATCAAGTCATTTGAAACAACTCAATTTCCTGGGATGAGAGAAATTCTGGTTCAGCTACAATCACCACAATCACTTTCTTGGCTTTGTGTGGTGAGCAACCTCAAAGGAATACACCCACACGATTCCTAGTCAGTTAAACAATCCCTTTCTTTTTTTCCTTTGCAAAAGTGCTGCATTCATGTTTTTTGTTTTCTTTTTAAAAATTATATTATTTTAGTAGGAATATCCAAGGGGGAAATGGGGAGCTTAAGGTGTCAAAGGAAGTGTTTGTAAGGCTAAAATGAACCTGACCAGATTTATGTTATATGGATTCATCTTTATGACAGATAATCACTAAAATGATCCCTAGTTTCTATAGCTTTTTAAAGCTGGTAAAATATTTACTCCCCAAGTGTTATTATTATTATAAACATTTTGTCTATTCCTCTTAAAAAAGAAATGTTATACAGTATTGAAGCATTAAATTAAAACAGATGCTTTATGAATTAGGAAACAAAAGAAGTGGGCCAAGACTTCTGTTGTCCCAATGGGCAATACTAGAAGCAATTGCTGAGAAAATAAAAATAATGATATGAAAATATACTTCTTGGAGCTTAACACTAAGCAGGTGCAGAAAGGGAGTGAGGCGTAAACTTTAATCTTAATACTCAATTTATTGCTCATAAAGAGAGTTTCAAAGAGTTATTAATTGATTGAACAAAACCTATGATTAGAGGTAATTACAGAAATTTCCTCCACACATTATGATTCTGCAGCATTTCTAAGACGATAATCAGGGCTATTACTGTTAATAGATGGGGGGGATGATATAATGATTCCCATATTTTGTCACAATTGAACTGAGACAAAGTAGCCCTCCCTCCTCTCCCACTTACAATAGAAAACAATTGCCCTTGACAGGCGAATGCATCAGAGAGCCTATTTTAAAAGAAGTTTTCCCTTAATGAAAACGAAAAAAAAAGATGTATCGTATATAACACCTTTGACAGTTACCTGAGGCCTCTGTAACTAATGAAACATTACAAAGACTTGGACTAGAGGAAAATTTTAAAAAATTCAGCTGGGCCTTTAAATAAATGCTTTTCTAAAAGGCAGATTACAGACAAGCTGAAAATTATAGAAATGTTATCCATGACCAGGTAATGGTTCCAACTTATATTAATAATTCTATTATGATAAAAATAATCCTATCAAGGAAGCTTTTCAATTTCCAGTGAAAGACCACACAATTCCAGTTCCTGGGGACTCAATGAAACATTTTGGGGGGAACTAATGTGTGCATAGCACTATGTCAGCTACTGAGGGGAAAGAAAATAAGGTGACTAGATCGCTTGAGCAAGACTGTAGCCTCCAGAATTCTTTTTTTAAAGCATATACAGTCATGAAAGCCTTTATTTCTATATATGCTATCTTAAGAATTTCAGAAGGAAATTTATCTGAAGTTATGCTAACAACTGAAGAAGGATGTTAGGTGTCATCAAGTCCAATATAATGCCGTGGTTGTTGTCAGGGGCCATCGAGTTGGCTCTGGTCCCCAGCGCCCCCTTGATACAACAGAACGAAACACTGCCGGGCCCTGCGTCCTCCTCACAATTGTGCCCGTGCCCGAGCCCACTGTGTCACTCCTTCTCGCTGAGGCCCCTCCTCTTTTCCGCTGCCCCTCCACTTTACCAAGCACGATGTCCTCCTCCAGGGTATCTCCTGACAACATGTCCAAAGGATGTGAGACGAAGTTTGGCTCTTCTTGCCTCTGAGAAGCACTCCGACCTCACGTCTTCCAACACAGATTGGTTGTCCTTTGTTATTTTCAAAATTCTTCTCCAGCACCAGAATTCTATGCATCGGTTCTTCTACAGCCTTTAGGTAGCTGCTTTGTTGCCCTAAACCCTCCAAGTGTTTGTTTTACAGTAAGATAGTAGTTTCACAGTGACATTTTTAGACCCAAAGGTGTAATTGATCCTTCATTTACTGAGATTTAACCCCTCTTTCCTCCATGAAGAGAACTGGCCAACATTCTTTATTACCATAAAGTTTTTAAGGCAATTAAGTTCTTTTAATGATAAAACTCCTTCAACCTCATTAAGTAAACAGTACTTGAATTTGTTTTATGTTTCAAATATACTTTGCGTATGCTTTTGTTGTGGGTCTTAGATGCCAGATCCCATCGACACCTTGTGGTCGCACAGGCTGATGTGCTTCTTCCATGTGGGCTTTGTTGCTTCTCAGCTAGATATGGCCGCTTGTTTATCTTCAAGTCTTTAAGACCCCAGATGCTGTATCTTTTGATAGCCGGGCACCATCAGCTTTCTTCACCACATTTGCTTATGCACTTATTTTGTCTTCAGCTATTGTGTCGGGTTGGACATCCCCTCACAGAGGGATTATGGGGAAGAGATGAGCCAGTCAGGGTGCAGTATAACACCAATGAAACACACAACTTTCCTCTAGTTCTTTGGTGCTTCCTTCCCCCCACTATCATGAACTCAATTCTACTTTACAAATCTGACTAGACCAGAGCATGCACACTGCTACCGGTAAGAGCCCGCAATACAGGGAATCCAGGATAAATAAACCCCTCAGGGCCAACTTTGGTTAGGATCAAAAAGATGGCATGACTATAATTATGTAACAAAAACACGCACCAACTTTCGCAAAGGCCTCTTTGAGTTCATCAAGCTCATCTTTGGAAATCTGAGCGGTCGCCATCTCATCCATTTAACAATACCTAAAGAGAAATGAAAAGGTTTCAGGCTTTTAAAAAACATTTGTGATAAATACAGTATCTTATGGATAATTTCAACAGTGGCATAGGTTACCGTATCTGTAGCTGTAGTCACAATAAAGAAATAAAACAGATGAAAAGTCTGGGTATACAGAAGAAAACATCTTCCTTTCAAGGATTCTCTCAAGGAGGAAATGGTAAATGACACTCGAAGAATATAAACAAGGTACACAGAAATATAGGAAAGAGATATGTCATAAAGATTGTTGATTACATGTGCCCAAGCTAAATATCAGAATTAGATGACCAATAATTTATGCACAATGTCACTTTCCCATTAAGCCACTTTATAAAATAATTCACTGAAAATACATTTTTCAAGTATCATACTGCCTACCTACCTATTAGTTGTTCCAATGATAGAATTGGTCGAGAGGAGTCAAATAACTGTATTTGGCTTTGCCATATAAATGCATACACCTGTGTGCATAGCCCTGTGCACACACCTGCTACACTTGTTATTATAATCCCAATGGGAATTAGTTTGTTAGATTAATGAGACCGTATTCGTGTAAGGTGTGTCTGAAATCAATCTCTTTTGAGACATAAAACAAGTAAAACAATTAAGCAAGTAAGCAAGCAGAGATAGGGGAAGAGAGATGCCAAGCCACTTGAAGATGGCCCAATAGCCAAAGCTCAGAAGAGTTTAGGAACTTCTTTCAAAGCAAGAAGAGAGAAAGTCTTCCCCAGGGCCAACATCTGAATTCAAACATTTAGTCTCCTAAACTCTTCAATTTCTCTTACCCAATTATGGCATTTCCCTAACAGATGCACTAGATAACTAAGACAATATCCATTCCAATTTGGCCCCATTTAATTTACTTAACCATTAGAGAAAGGGTGCAGATTCTAAGACACTAAATAAATCTAAACCAACATGGTTTCTGTCTGGTCCCCAAACTAAGAATGATTTTTACAGATGAACATTTACAGTCAATTTTGATAATATGGCACATATTTATTTTGAAACCAATTCCGTGAACTGTTAGCCTGGGCACTGGGGGTAGGGGGTAGAGACGGGATTTTTCCATTCTTTACATCAGTAGACTTGTATCACAAATCACTATAGTCAATCACTGTCTTTTTAATTTTGTCAATAAATATTTTGTGGAATTCATTTTCACTCATTATGAAAATACCTACCTAATACTCTCAACTTTTGCCTCTTGGCACACAATAATTTGTATCTGTACTCAGATAAGGAGAACACTGCTCAACTGCTTTCTCCAGCCTCTCTAGCCATGTAGCAGGAGAAAGATGTAGCATTTTAGGTCCATGAAGACTTGCAGTCTTGGAAATGCTAGGAGACAGTTCTACTCTACTGTATACAGGTGTTATGTGTTGGAATCTACTGGATCGTAATGTGTGTTTTTTGGTTTTTGTTGGGGGTTAGGGAGGGGGACCAGGAGGTCTGTCCCTTCACTGCAAAGTTTTAACCCTGATAATCCCCATACACATTTGTTGACGATGCTTGACAGGAGGAAAATGAAAATAATTACATGTTGTCTTTTCCAAAAGTATAAAACCCATTGAATTTTGCAAAATAGGAATGTCAGGTGTTATACATTCCCTTTTGGATATTTTGTGAAAAATTAAACTAATCATCAACTCATCTTTTCAATGATAAACCAAAGATTTATTATGGAGAAATGGGGCATGCCATGACAGAACCTAGGCCATGTGTGTCTTTTGAACAACGATCGCCAAATTTTGAACACTTACTACTCTCTCTGGCACAAAGGAAGCACTCAATAAAACAGTATTTTAATTATCCATTCGTTCAACAACTATGTGCCAAACATGACATTAAATAAATTCATATGCTTAGTATATTTCCCTGAACACTCCCAATAGTTTTATGAGGTAAGAATTCTCACCTTCTTTTTTTTTTTACATTGAGATTAACAGACTCAGAGGGACGATGAAATTTGAATTCAAGCTCAAGATATCTCAAATCCCAGGGATGTTTTGAAATAGCCATACATTACTATTAGCTAAAATTTTACCATAGTGTTACACTATGGTAAGTATTTATGATGTAAATACTTATGATGGCTGTTTTTTAAAAAATTAAGTGAAGGCAGATTTTTAAACTATTTTTAAACAGAACTTTTCTTACTTGTTATATGAGAATGCCACTGTACAAGGCAACTTCTCAGCAGATAAACTGGATTAAAACACACCGTTCAGAGTAGTCTCAAGATCTGTGAAACAAAGAAATACGTTGGGTTAGATATGAAGTTAGGCATTCTGAAAATTAAGAATAAGAATAGTTCCCATAACCAAGTTGAAACTTAATAATAGTGCTTTTCAAAGTATTTCATGATGGAAAACTCTAGAAACAGAGCTGTTGAGTGAAAATTGTTGAAATGGTATATGCTTTGTTATAAATAAATAAATAAATAAATAAATAAATAAATAAATAAATAAATAAATAAATTCATCATTCAAAAAAACAAAAACAAAAAAAAGATAAATGGGATTTGGAAAGGAAGAGAACCTGAAGAGGATGTGGTAAATTGAGTAATAGCTTAATGATGCCCACATCCTAATCCCTCTAAAACACACACACACACACACACACACACACACACACACACACACACACACACACACACGGCAGAGTAGAACTGCTCATGTGAGTTTCCAAGACTCTTTAGCCTTTCTCCTTGGAAGCACAGCTGCTGGTGGTTTCGAACTGCTTACCTTGCAGTTAGCAGCCCTATGCATAACCATAGTGCCACCAGTGCTTCCTCCTAATCCCTAAAACCTGTGAATATGTTACTTTAAGTGGTCAACAAGGGCTTTACAGATTTAATTAAGGTTCTTGAGATGGGGAGATAATTCCAGATTATCTGGATGTGCCTAGTGTAATCACAAGGATCCTTATACGAGGGAGACAGGATGAAATAATAGAAGGGAGAGGTTGGAGTCAGGCAAGGAAGGGGCCAAGAGCCCAGGAAAGCAAGTAGCCTCTAGAGCAGTTTCCCAAAGTGGGCAATATCGTCCCCTGGGGGTCACTGTAATGATCCAGGAGAGCTGCAACTGCAGATACCTACACTTTATGATGGGCTATAGTGCAAAAGTTTTTCATTGCTAAGGGGGTGTTGAGTAATCTTTTTTTTTTCCTGACAAGGGGGCAGTAAGACCAAATTAGTTTGGGACCCTATTCTGTAACAAAAGACAAGAGAGTCAAATTCTATCCTGGGATCTCCAAAAGGAACCAACCTTGCCAACATCTTGCTTTTAGTGATAATGTTTATGGACTTCTTAAATCCCCAATTTTAAAACAATCAATCTGTATTATTTGAAGCAATTGAAAGACAAAACAATATTCTATCCAAAATGATTCCCTTTTTTACCAAGAGGCTGCTCAATACTGCTGGTTACAGAAATACTATGCAGAATTTATACAGGTTTCCTTTATACCTATTTTAAGCTATCTGGTTTTCCACAGAAAATCATTAACCACATTCTCCATGAATTACGGAGAAACACAATATAGAACTTTTGAAAGTGAGGCTGTCTCACAAAATCCAAAACATGGCCTTTCCACTATCTTTAACGGTCCTTTCTAGTTTGAGCAATTTATGAGTCAATAATAAAGTATGTGAGTTTTAAAAAAAAATAACCAAAAGATCGTGGGTATTATTTCCATAGTACTGTATCACTTTTATATACGAGAGAAAATTAGATACAGATGGTTTTGCCTCCTGACCAGGTGGGGTCTGGCTAAAGTCTTTTAGCAGAGCTGAATGGAATAATGAGGAAAACAGAAGAAAGAAGAGGAAAACAGAGGAAAAAATAGGTAATCTGTTTTTGTACCGTCTTTTATACCCATTTCAAACTGTCTTATACTCCCCCCACACATACACCTCTATCATCCCACAATTTTACCAACAGTTTAGTAATCAGTATATGTCTAGTTCCTGCCCTCAAGGAATTTACAACCTAGGGGAGGCAAGCATATAAAAATTAAAATACCGCAAAGAGCAAATTGGTGGCTGCAATAAAGGATGTAAATATCCCATTTTTAGAAAGTGCTGAACATTTTAATGATTATTAATTCCTTCTCAGGTATACAAGGAAAGCAGCATTTTTGTTCTTCCTACAATATTAGTAAGTAGATTTTCTTTAGAGTGTGGATCTCATAGAAATGATTTGAAAGCATCGGTCTCCTCTCAAAAAGTATTAATCAAATATAGAATTTAATACATCTTTATGCTCTCTCATGTCCAATTTTCAAATTTCTGACTCCTGTCTGATTATTTTAATGAAAGTCTACAGGTTTTTCATCTATTGGAAACATGGAGACACACTTGAATAAAAATTAGAAAGTACTGGAGTATATCTTTATTTACAAAACATTCCCGGGCACCTAAGATTCTCTCTCGTGCTCTCTCTCTTTTTTAAAACAAAACAAAGCAAAGCAAGATGAAACTTTTTTATTGTGAATTAGGTGGGGGTTTACATTTCAGAAAACTACTTTCGTATTCAACAACTGAAACTACTGATCAAACATCCCAACAGCTTGCCCAAATTTTGGATAGGTATTTGAAAATAAATTAAACTCAACTTTCAAGTGTCTGGCCTAAAACCCAAATACAAAGCCAAAGGTTCAAAAGCTCACAATTTTCTAATTGATCTGGCTAACACTTGTAAACATGCCATTGGAAGCTTCAAATCATTTAATGATGATTTTTTTCTCACTATAAAGGGAAGAAAGGTTTGGGATTACTAAGACTACTTCTAGGTACTTTATGGTATCATTAAGGAAATAAAGCATTTAAGTACTACTGCCTTGGGAGGAAACATCACATTAAATAACTGGGAAAAGATTGCCAGGTAAGTAGTATTATAAGTTTGTTTGTTTTTTAATTTTTTTAATTAAAAGTTTGTACATGATAACAATGGGAAAACTGTAGTGTCTTCATAGGCATTCATTGTATTTCAGCCCCACCTCAGGGAATAAAACATCCCTGGGTTGAGGCTGACCAAGTAAAACAGAAGATTTGTTACCATTACTCTGCTCTTGTGGGCATTTCATTTAATCTCGAGTATGCTATACCCAGCTGTTGCTGCTCCCCCAACGAGGAGGTGTGCTGTAATAGAAAGAAGGTTGGACTTGGAATCAGAAGGTCTCAATGAATGCCCTGCTTCTTTTATTTCTTAGCAGTGTGTTCATGAGTCAGTTTATTTAATCTCTCTAAGCCTCACTTTCCTCATCTGAATACAGGGATAATAATGCCTACTTTCCCAGAGTCCTAATGACGATTAAGGATGGCATATACGAAGACACATTATAAACTGCAAGTATTATACAGCAACTTCAAAACCTTAATGAAAGAAGATGGGAAATAAATGAATGGTTAAGAAAATTGTAAGATGTTATATAAATACAAAGCATTAAGTTGAACTAAAAGCCCTTTAGATGGGATGCATGAAGTTATCTCTTCTGCTTTATAATTACTGACTACCGAGTATTAGGGATCTGCCTTATATATAAAAATTATAAGCCTTTAATCAAAGTTATTTAAAAGGCTGGACCTACAGAAAATCTGGCAGGAACCCTTTATCCAACTCAATGAGCTTTTTCTTCATTGTGGCAAGTTCTTGGTTTGGTTTGGTTTTGAATGCCACTTAAAAAGCTCAGAAGGAATGTTTCAAAAAGTATCATTTTAAATTTATATACTTCAGAGCCACGTTTAAAAATGCTAATAGCTTCACAATCCAGTCACATCCTTCCCAACTTGCATATCATTCCGTGTAATGAAAAATAAAAGGTAAAAAAATGTCTTTTAAAGTTGATATTATATACTGAAGGCAAGTTTCAACTCAATTTCCCAATAGGTGATGGGTTGGCTTAAAAAGAGATCGACATTCAAAATTCCTTATCTTTATCTCACTCATTTCTTCCACAAAAATGAAAACTTTAACACAAGGAGAAAGAGAACTAGATAATCTAAGAATCAGAATGATATTTTACACACAGACCCTTGAAAATTCATTACATGAAATACTAATCCAGAGGAAATTCTTCTGAGTTGAACATTTTTTCTGGATTCTCTAGTCTGCAAAGCACTTTGATCTTTCTCAAACTGTTTCCTCTCTAAAGAGTCCTGCTTGCCTCTTCTAAAAAGGGAAACCATTAGAAGAAAAGGCAAACCCTTGCTCTCTAACCATCCGAGACACAGGAAAACAGATTTTCAAATAAGGGAATAAAACAAAAGCAAACGAAACTCTGATTGTTTACTTTTCATCAAAGGATATGGTGTACAACTGGGTATGAATTCAGGGCGTCACCCATAGAAGAATCTTATGCCTATGAAATCATCCCTAATTACAGAGGTTGACTAACAATACACCAATTATGAAACCACTGCACTGGGTCATTTAATCATACACAAACCCTGAACACAAATCCTTGCTGAGAAAGGTGTATCCCCAACTACCTGAAACTATTACTCAAAATTGAGGGAAAATAGGGTGTTCTGTTCTCATTTCCTCTAGCATTCATCTCCGGAATGTGTTCAATGAAATAATCTACTGCTCTGTGCCACCCAGTACCATGTAAGAAAGGTCACAAAAACTTTATTTGAGGGGGCTTCCAGGCACAATTCCATTGTCTTTCAGTTCCATTTTTCCTCCAACTGCTTGAAGCCCCCTCATATATATGTATATAGCTATACATTGTTTCCCCTTTGAAACTGAAAAGCAGGGGATAGTCACTATAGACTTTATCCCAGTGATTTGAAAACACAGACGTAGGCGTGGATGGTGAAGAGACTCATAAAAGGATGAGCAAGGCACGGCAGAATAAATGATTGCACCAACAATGAAACAAACCTGCAAGCACCGTTATGTGTGAGTAACTCTCAACAAGGGTTGGCAACAACAAAACGGAGTGAGCGTATCCCAGATAGGCCGTGCTTTGGAGCACCCACATGTCACAGACCGGTACCAACAGAAACCGCCACCCTTGCTCCTCCCTAGTTCAGCAAGTCAACAGCACTGGTCTCCGGGTTAAATGAGCATGCAATACTCTGTGGGCTGAAGCACACCTACCCTTACTTATGCTTACTCAAGCCCCAGTCTCATGTTTCCAAATGACTTTAAAAAGATTTCAGCTTTCAAGTCTCTGTCCACACACTTACTCTTTTACATTCGCAGAGCCTTAACTGAAGGCCAAAGCTGTGCCAGGGTC